GTGGTTGAGTGAGTGAGTGGTGTGGTGGTTGAGTGAGTGAGTGGCGTGGTGGTTGAGTGAGTGGTGTGGTGGTTGAGTGAGTGAGTGGTGTTGTGGTTGAGTGAGTGAGTGAGTGGTGTGGTGGTTGAGTGGTGTGGTGTGTGAGTGGTGGTTGAGTGAGTGAGTGAGTGGTGTGTGAGTGGCGTGGTGGTGGTGTGTGAGTGGCGTGGTGGTTGAACGCGGCGGTGGATGAAGAGGCGCAACATTCTGCTAGACCGAGTCCTCAACACAGGAGGAGGAATCAACGAGGCTGGAGGGCATGGACACAAACACGCACAGATCCACACAGACACGCACAGACGTCACCCCGCACCCCACAGATAGCGAGACGCACACGGACACACCCTCGGGTGCATACCTGCTTCGCGAGACGAAGACAAACATCTCCCCTTTACTCTTTTGAAACTTTTGGGCCCCACGGAGTTAGCGAGCGCCTATTAAGGCCACAGCGCAAGGGGACGGTGGGTGCCGCACCGCACCAGGAACGCGTGCTTCAGTCCGAGTGGACCTGGGGGATGTACGCGCCAGATTGAGATTCACGTCTGTCATCGTCAGCGTTGAGCGGCACGGGCAGGCATCGAGCCGAGGTGACCGCGAGCGAGCGGACGCAAAGACAGCGCTCCCACGTGCGTCCTCCGACAGGGTGTTGGCACCAGTGATGTTAGCGAGCACCTATTAAGTCCAGCACGGCGGTGGGGTGGCCCTGCCCGATCAACTTTGTCTCCGGAGTACTGATGCTGTTTACTCACGGTGGTATGTTCTCATTTAAGGCTGAGTTGACCTAGGGTATGGTCACACGAACATTTAAATAGGCAGGGGTACACACACACACACAGTGCGCACCACTCAAACACGCACGTCACCACAGTACACAGATTCACACAGGGACAGACAGACACAAACATTCATACACACATTCACATAGCCACCCACGCACATTCACAGACACACACAAAGATCCCTCGTGTAACCTTTAACAGATTGTTGGGGCAAGTGCTGTTAGCGAGCACCTACGAAGGCCGGCACGGCACACGAGGGGGTGGGTGGCCAGCACCACGCCCGGCCGCCTTTGTCTCCCCTGTGGCGATGTTTACACACCGCAGAAGATACGGCGTGAGCGGGAATCGAACTCGGGTCGCTAATTCCGTAGCGCAGGGTGCTAACCGCTACCCTTCCATCACAACAACAACCGCTATTCGCCACTAAGTGGCGGCAACGTGACCACGGCACTTGTGCCAGGCTAGGTGCACGTTGAGGCCACGTGAAGTGTCGAACAGCCCGCTGGCAGGAGGTCACGGGGCAGACCCAGCAGGTGCCACGGGGCAGACCCAGCAGGTGCCACGGGTCGACTGACTGAGATGACCGAGATGAGTGGCCGATGCACCACCTGTGCCCCCTACTCTGCCAACTCGCTGTGCTTTAGCCACCCGGCGCTCCGCTCGTTGTTGTGAGCGTCGCTCCTCCGCCCTCCGTTGTTGCTGGAGGGCGACTGCCTCCAACTGCCCAGTAGCGTCCTTCACGAGCCTCCTCCATTGAGGCCGATCTTGACACCGCTGGTGCCAGTCATCGGAAAGTCCACTCAGCTCCACGTCCTCCTGTACCACATCACTCCATCTCTTCTCTAGCCCGTGCTGCGCCCGTTTAGCCCCCTCGATCCGGCCGAACAAAAGCTGTCTAGGCATGCGGTGGCTGGGCATGCGGGCTACATGACCCAGCCAACGCAGCCTTGCCTGCCGGAGGAGCTCACGGATGGGAGTTTGTCCAGATCTTTGTAGTGCAGACACAAAGATCACCCGTTTAGCCTTAACAGACTGTAGGGGCAAGTGCTGTTAGCGAGCACCTATGAAGGCCGGAATGACACACGAGGGGGTGGGTGGCCAGAACCACGCCCGACCGCCTTTGTCTCCCCAGTGGCGATGTTTACACACCGCACCGGGTACTCATTTGAGGCTGAGTCGACCTAGGGGAGGCCCAGCACCGGTTCAGATAATCGTCACCGGTGTTGGCCGTGAATGGGAATCGAACTCGGGTGGCCGGGGTTCATAGCGCAGCGTAGCGCTAACCGCTACACCACCGCTCGCCACACACACAGACAGACACACACACAGACAGACACACACACAGACAGACACACACACACAGACAGACACACACACAGACAGACACACACAGAAACACACACACAGAAACACACACAGAGAGACACACACAGACACACACACAGACACAGACACACACACAGACACACACACAGAGACACACACAGACACACACACACAGACACACACACAGACACACACACACAGAGACACACACACGCACAGGGCACTGTGGTCACCTGCTGTCTGGTCTCGCGTGGACATCGCTGCCGCCACCACCACGGTCACCGCCATCGTCGTCTCGAGCAGCAGCAGCAGCAGGAGGAGCGGTGGTGGCGGCGTAGACCCCAAGCGGCCCCACGCGCGCGTCATCGCCTCGTCTCACGCACTCATCATCATCGTCTCACGCACTCATCATCATCATCGCCTCGTCTCACGCACTCATCATCATCGTCTCACGCACTCACCATCATCATCATCGTCTCACGCACTCATCATCATCATCGTCTCACTCATCATCATCGTCTCACGCACTCATCATCATCATCGCCTCGTCCCAATCCTGGATCTCAAACCCCCCCGGCCGTCTCGTCGCATCCCGGGGGGGGGGGGCGGAAAAGTTTCTTGGCCCCGTCCCACCCAGCCACTCACTCACCCAGCCACTCACCCGCCAAGACACTCACTCACCCAGCCACTCACCCGCCCAGACACTCACCCAGCCACTCACTCACTCACCCAGCCACTCACCCAGCCACTCACCGCCCAGACACTCACTCACCCAGCCACTCACCCGCCCAGACACTCACCCAGCCACTCACTCACTCACCCAGCCACTCACCCAGCCACTCACCCAGCCACTCACTCACCCAGCCACTCACCCAGCCAGCCACTCACTCACCCAGCCACTCACCCAGCCACTCACTCACTCACCCAGCCACTCACCCACCCAGCCACTCACCCGCCCAGACACTCACCCAGCCACTCACTCACCCAACCACTCACCCGCCCAGACACTCACCCAGCCACTCACTCACTCACTGACCCAGACACTTACCCACCCAGCCACTCACCCACCCAGCCACTCACCCAGCCACTCACTCACACCCAGTCACTTACTCACCCAGCCACTCACTCACTCACACTGCCACTCACCCACCCAGCCACTCACCCACCCAACCACTCACCCACCCAGCCACTCACCCAGCCACTCACTCACCCAGCCACTCACCCACCCAGCCAGCCACTCACCCAGCCAGCCACTCATTCACTCAGCCACTCATTCACTCACTCACCCACCCAGCCACTCACTCACTCACCCAGCCACTCACTCACTCACCCAGCCACTCACCCACCCAGCCAGCCACTCACTCACCCAGCCAGCCACTCACTCACCCAGCCACTCATTCACTCACTCACCCACCCAGCCACTCACTCACTCACCCAGCCACTCACTCACTCACCCAGCCACTCACCCGCCCACCCACCCACTCACCCACCCAACCAACCACTCACTCGTCCACACAGCCACTCACCCGCCCGTCACCCTGGACCACTACTCTCACGCGCAGCCTTCTCGCTCCGTCTCGCTCCACTCAATGAGTCGATCCTCAACTCACGCGGCCGTTTCCGCAAACAAAGGCGATGGCCGGGGGAGGAGCCCACGTGCAGCGGGCGGGTGGGGCGTGGCCTCGTGTCAGGGGGCGTGTTAGTAGGCGTGGCCTCGTCACAGTAGGCGTGGCCTCGTGTCAGGGGGCGTGTTAGTAGGCGTGGCCTCGTCACAGTAGGCGTGGCCTCCTGGCAGTCGGCGTGTTAGTAGGCGTGGCCTCGTCACAGTAGGCGTGGCCTCCTGGCAGTCGGCGTGTTAGTAGGCGTGGCCTCGTCACAGTAGGCGTGGCCTCGTGTCAGTCGGCGTGTTAGTAGGCGTGGCCTCGTCACAGCAGGCGTGGCCTCCTGGCAGTAGGCGTGTTAGTAGGCGTGGCCTCGTCACAGTAGGCGTGGCCTCGTGGCAGTAGGCGTGTTAGTAGGCGTGGCCTCGTCACAGTAGGCGTGGCCTCGTCGCAGTAGGCGTGTTAGTAGGCGTGGCCTCGTGGCAGTGGGCGCGGCCTCGTGGTAGGGGGCGTGGCCTCGTGATAGTGGGCGTGGTCTCGTCACAGTGGGCGTGGCTTCGTGTCAGGGGGCGTGGCCTCGTGCATCTTCAAGCGCCGATCGCTCCGGGGAGGGGGGGTTGGGGGGGAGGTGAAGTTGGGGGGGGGGGGTTGGGGAGGTTGGGGGGGTTGGGGGGGGTTGGGGGGGAGTTGGGGGGGGGGTTGGGGGGGTTGGGGGGGAGGGGGGGTTGGGGAGGTTGGGGGGGTTGGGGGGGGTTGGGGGGGAGTTGGGGGGGGTTGGGGGGGAGGTGAAGTTGGGGGGGGGGGGGTTGGGGAGGTTGGGGGGGTGGGGGGGGTTGGGGGGGCGTTGGGGGGGGGTTGGGGGGGTTGGTGGGGGAGGGGGGGTTGGGGAGGTTGGGGGGGTTGGGGGGGTTGGGGGGGAGTTGGGGGGGGTTGGGGGGGAGGTGAAGTTGGGGGGGGGGGTTGGGGAGGTTGGGGGGGTTGGGGGGGTTGGGGGGGAGTTGGGGGGGGGTTGGGGGGGGTTGGGGGGGAGGGGGGGTTGGGGAGGTTGGGGGGGTTGGGGGGGGGGTGGGGGGGAGTTGGGGGGGGTTGGGGGGGGAGGTTGAAGTTGGGGGGGGGGGGGGGGGGTTGGGGGGGGTTGGGGGGGAGTTGGGGGGGGTTGGGGGGGTTTTTGACGTTCCTCTGTCGAGGTCGTCGTCCCCCGCGTGGTGCGTGGCGAGGCGACACCCCCTGGCGTCAGACGCCCCACGCCCCCCAGCCTCAACCCGACCGCGTGCCGCTGAGCAGCGGCGGTGACGTCGTCGCGGCGCTCGAGCCAGACGAGGTGCACCTTGAGGCCACGTGACGTGTGAGCCAGACGAGGTGCACCTTGAGGCCACGTGACGCTTGAGCCAGACGAGGTGCACCTGGAGACCACGTGACGTGTGAGCCAGACTAGGTGCACCTGGAGGCCACGTGACGTGTGAGCCAGACTAGGTGCACCTTGAGGCCACGTGGCGTGTGAGCCAGACGAGGTGCACCTTGAGGCCACGTGACGCTCGAGCCAGACGAGGTGCACCTTGAGGCCACGTGACGTTTCGAGTTGCCCCTCTGGCGGGAAGGTCGCGGAACAGACCCACGTGCCGTGGGTTGACTGAGATGACTGAGATGACTGAGATGGCTGAGATGGCTGACTGAGATGACTGAGATGATTGAGATGACTGACTGAGATGACTGAGATGGCTGAGATGACTGAGATGATTGAGATGACTGAGATGGCTGAGATGACTGAGATGATTGAGATGACTGAGATGACTGATGAGATGATTGAGATGACTGAGATGATTGAGATGATTGAGATGACTGACTTGAGATGATTGAGATGACTGAGATGACTGAGATGACTGACTGAGATGACTGACTGAGATGACTGAGATGACTGACTGAGATAACTGATTGAGATGACTGAGATGATTGACTGAGATGACTGACTGAGATGACTGACTGAGATGACTGACTGAGATGACTGACTGAGATGACTGACTGAGATGACTGACTGAGATGACTGAGATGACTGACTGAGATGACTGACGAGATGAACTGACTGAGATGACTGAGATTGCTGACTGAGATGACTGACTGAGATGACTGAGATGACTGACTGAGATGACTGACTGAGATGACTGAGATGATTGACTGAGATGACTGACTGAGATGACTGAGATGACTGACTGAGATGACTGACTGAGATGACTGACTGAGATGACTGAGATGACTGACTGAGATGACTGACTGAGATGGACTGACTGAGATGACTGACTGAGATGACTGAGATGACTGACTGAGATGACTGAGATGACTGACTGAGATGACTGACTGAGATGACTGAGATTGCTGACTGAGATGACTGACTGAGATGACTGACTGAGATGACTGAGATTGCTGACTGAGATGACTGACTGAGATGACTGACTGAGATGACTGAGATTGCTGACTGAGATGACTGATTGAGATTATTGAGATGACTGACTGAGATGACTGGCCGATGCACCAGCTGTGCCCCCCCCCCACCCCCCAACCATTTTGCCAACTCGCTGTGTTTTATCCGCCCGGCGCTCTGCTCGTTGTTGTGAGCCTCGCTCCGTCCTCCATCGCTGCTTCACCTCCGCCGTGTTGACGGGTCCACCCCGTCCCGGGCGACCCGTGGAGCCTCGGGGGAGTCAGGGGAGAGGCCAGACACGAGTTCAGACATCACTCCCCGGCGGCGTTTAGGGCCGTCCATAAATGACGTCACGCGATTTTGGAAGATTTTTGACCCCCCCCCCCCCCCCTCTTCGTCACACGGCGTCACAAAAAGTCAGACCCCCCCCCTCTCTCAAATATGACGTCACAAAGCTTTGCCCCCCCCCCCCCAAAATGAACATGCCTCAAATCGCTTTAAACTATTGTCATTGTAGTGCGTATTTAATGTGGCGCTGCACTCTGATGTTGTAGGAGTAAACGTGTATAAAAAAGTCTATTTAATTAAGTAGAACGTGTTGTCTATATTTATTTAAAGTTGCGCATTTTGATGTGACGTCACATTTCTCACCCCCCCCCCCCCCCCCTCGTCACACATCGTCACAAATGTCTGACCCCCCCCCCCCCCCTAGGTGCGTGACGTCATTTATGGACGGCCCCTTAGCCGTGGCCATAAATGCAACTATTCATGGCGCAGCGCGCTAAACGCGTCTTGTAAACGTGCCCTCGTGAACATCAACACACACATCTGGTCCAACACCAATGGAGACTAGGCTCGAAAAAAAGCTGTCTCGGGTGTGGACCAATCAACTTCAAGGACAGTGCATATCATTATCATCATCAGAGTTGTTTCTTTTTGTTTGAATTTTGACTGCTTGTGTTTGTGGTTATTGCAAACATGATGCCTTGTATAAAGGTGTCAGTTTTGTACCAGTTGAAAGGGTAAAAACGTGCTACTATATTTTGCCATTGGTAAAGGAGGTCTCATAGCATAAATGCCTCCCCCGAGCTCTCAATACTCTGATAGTGCACTGTTTTTGAGTTGTACGCATTTTGGCGTCATCTGGTCCAATACCAATGGAAAGTAGGCTCTAAGCAAAGCTGTCTCGGGTGTGGACCAATCAACTTCAAGGACAGTACATATCATTATCAGAGTTGTTTCTTTTTGTTTGCATTTTGACTGCTTGTGTTGTGGTTATTGCAAACATGATCCCTTGTATAAAGGTGTCAGTTTTGTACCAGTTGAAAGGGTAAAAACCTACTACTATATTTTGCCACTGGTAAAGGAGGTCTCATAGCACCAACACACACACGCGGCGTGTAGCCGGCTTGTTCCGCAAGGAGAGGCTGCTCCCTATCACAGCTGCTCCTTCATCCACCGCTCTCATCAGTTTCAGTTTCATGTATTTGGAGGTATAGCCCCGTGAGCCATTCGGCTCTTGAATCGGGTGCAACCGCAACAAACAAAAGACAAAAACATGAACAAGAAAACATCTTAAAGTGACTATGTGACTAAGTGCAAACAGAAAATCCAGGAAAAAACAGCAAAAATATTCCAGAAAAGGCACCGTACACCAACGCTGTGTGCAAAAATCCCAGTGGGATGCAAGTCAAACAACAACAACAACCACAAGGCAACTTAGATTAAGGCCATCATTCTAACTCCGTACTACAACAAACAAAAATGGCCAAACCCAAAAACGTTTCCGAAATCACCAAAATAAAGCCATAAAAGCCATTTACAGTGATCATAGGAATTGTGAAGGACGAAATCACCAAAATAAAGCCATGAAAGCCATTTAACAGTGATCATAGGAGCTGTGAAGGACGATCAGTAGAAGCTGCAGCCGGGAGGGAAGCTCTGTGGGCAGGCGTGGCGTGCATGTTGCTCACTGTGGAGGAGGCTCGTGAAGGACGCTGCTTCTGCTGTTGCTGCTACTGGGCAGGTGAAGGCAGTCGCCCTCCAACAAGAACGGAGGGCAGAGGAGTGACGCTCACAACAACGAGCGGAGCGCCGGGTGGATAAACCGTAGGGTGCATTTGCCAGTAATTTCAGTCGGTCATACCATGGCACCTGCTGGGTCTGTCCCATGACTTAAACTATAGAAAATGGCTATGATTCCCCACAAACTTTGCTTTTGTGACCAGGACAGTGATACTTTGAAATGTACCTTTTTTCAATGAGAAAACTGGCGAATTTGTGTCTTTTCGTTCACATAAAGTCAGAACAAAACAACATATGAATCAAAATCAACATGTATTTATACCAAATTAATGCAACAATTACGAAAAAAGATTTAGAAGTGAGTAGTTTTTTGAGATTTACGATTATATTGTAAATCACTTTCACGAATCAGCCCCCAAATGTAGTCTCCCATCATGTTCTCGTTATACTGTCCTGGTAGCGGCGTTCAAAGTCCAGTATATCCTGGTGGAAGCGCTCGCCTTGCTCCTCCGAGTACGCTCCCATGTTCTCCTTGAATTTATCAAGATGAGGATCAAGGATATGGACTTTGAGGGACATCCAACAGCCCATTGTACCGTAGTTCTTCACCAGAGTCTCAACAAGCTCCACATAGTTTTCGACCTTGTAATTGCACAGGAAGCCACGAACCACTGCGACAAAGCTGTTCCAAGCCGCTTTATCCTTACTAGTGAGCTGCTTGGGGAATTCATTGCACTCTAGGATCTGCTTTATCTGTGGTCCGATTAAGACACCGGCTTTGACCTTCGCCTCAAACAGCTTAGGGAAGAAGTCTTGAAGTTACTTGAAGGCTGCCGACTCCTTATCTACAGCTCTGGCAAATTACATTTTTGACTTAAAACTTTCGTGACTGCAGGAATTCATATTCTTGGTTCTTTCGGTAAAGTGACGGAGATAGAAAAAAAATAAACCCACGACGTTTCGATCGTAACACAAGCGGGCTTTTTTTGCTTTTATTATTTTCTATTGATAATTTTCTACATTTTTATTTTTATTTTTTATTTTTTCTATCTACGTGACTTTACCGAAAGAACCAAGAATAACTCTGACAAATTCGTTCATAGGGACCTATTTGATGTGCAGTGGTGGCATCAGCACCTTCCAGGGGTCCACCAGTGGCTCCCACTTGACGTTGTTCCTCCCCACAGAGATCTCGGTCCGCTGTGGCCAGTCCCGCCTGTGGTAGTGCGCTTTGGTGTCTCTGCTGTCCCAAAGGCAAAGCTAGCATTTTAAAGTCTCCGATGACCTCCCAGTAAATACTCATCATACTTCAAGGCGTCTAGCAAGGTCTTGATGCTGTTGTAATTCTCTTTGAGGTGCACCGAGTGAGCCAGGGGAAGAGACGGGTACTTGTTACCATTATGGAGCAGCACGGCTTTGAGGCTCCTGGATGAGCTGTCAATGAAGAGGCGCCACTCATTCTGGTTACAGGAGATTCCGATTGCCTCGAACAGACTGGTCACATTTGTGGCAGAAGCAGAGCCCATCTTGACGGGTGAAGAAGCGGCAAAAAGGTTGGTGACGCTTCCTCTGATCTACAACTTGCACACTTTCATCCAACAATTTCCACTGCAACAATGATCAAAATCAATGTGTAATTGCCATCTAAATACCGAAAGCGTGTCAAGACGCTGGGGAGATGGAGGTGATTGATCTTTGCTTAAACATTGGGGTGGGCAGTTGGCAGTGTGGACAACCCAGGACATTCGAGACATCGTTAACGTTAAATTTCTATTTAAAGCTTCCGTGACTGCAGGGATTCATCTTCTTGGTTCTTTCGGTAAAGTCGCGTAGAAGGGAAATAATAAAATAATAAAAATAAAACTAAATAAAATAATATAATAATAAAACAAAATAAATTT